ACAAGATTTTTTTGATTATGCAAAAACATTTACTTTTCTCAATTTTTCTCATTTCCCCTCAAAAAAATCCCACTGACTTGTTTTTGAAACAGAATTCCATTAAATTTATGGATAAAATGTAATGTATTTTTAAAATATTTGGATTCCCATCTAGTAATAAGAAGACATGTAAAGCCCCCTACACACACACACACACACACACACGTATACAATCTTCATTTGACAGTGACTAGTACTCTGGCCCCATACGAATGAAATTTCCTTATTTGTAAGGGGTAAAGTTCCCATTCTTTTTTTTTTTTTTAATATTTTTATTTATTTCCAGGAGAAAGAGAGAGAGACAGCGTGAGCAGGGGAGGGTCAGAGAGAGAGGGAGATACAGACTCTGAAATAGGCTCCAGGCTCTGAGCTGGCAGTCAGCACAGAGCCCGACACGGGGCTCGAACCCACGAACCGCGGAGATCATGACCTGAGGGAAAGTCAGACACTTAACCGACTAAGTCACCCGGGCGCCCCGTAAAGTTTCCATTCTTAAATCACAAACTCTTAGAGCTAGAGGAACATTATAGATCACTTAGTCGAATACCCCTTTAAGCCCAGTTATGTTTACCCCAAGCCTACTTGAGATTCATTTTAAAGTTAAACGTAATATACCTTTTATATGCAACATAATTATAAAAGTACTGTCTGAATCACACAAAAGCAAAGAAGTGGTCTACATTTATTTAAGAGTACTTTCAATTTAGAAATCCTTTTAAAGAGGACCCATACTCGGCTCAAAGGAGAAAAAAAAAACAAAAAACAAGAGTACCTTAAGTGCCTATACCAGCAACAGCTCCATGTACTTTTTTAGGTACTGTTTCCAAGGTAAAGTCTTTTTGTTAAGCTGGGTCCAGGAACCAAACTTCATAGTACCACATCATTCCATTCTCAACTGTTCCATCATTTATTAAGAACACAAATCCAACAAACACTCTCCAAATGAACAAGCTGAAACAATTCTAAAAGTGTTTCTCAAGCCTGGCTGCCCATGTAATCATCTGTGGAGCTTCTAAAAGTAAAGTTGCTTGTGTCCCACTCTGGGACCTTAAGCATTTTCTTTTTTGTTTTTTAAAGCTGTAATAGGTTCTATCCTCAGCCAGAGTTAATAAGAACCAACATTCTAAAAGATTCAACAAGAACAAAGACCCTTAAAATGTCAAGTGTCCCTATATATTTGAGGGGTGGTGAAGGAGTAATGAAAAAAGCATCTTCACCAGCCCGGCGACATTTGCTGCTGATTAAAAGGGCTGTGTTCCCTATATTATGCCAGTCTTAAAACAGGACAAAGTGCAGAACACACGAAGCTTTTAACTGTTCATAGATGGATAGGGCTATATGATACGTGAAACACCTTTTTTTCCTCCCTTGAAGGTAACCTCCACCCCACATCATCTCCTAAGAGAAAAGACTCCTAAGAGAAAAGACGGCTGATACTCACTTTACAAATGGCAAACATTAAGATTCTACATAAATTCTTCTTCTGTTTTGTGAGAAAGAAAGCTGTAAACAAACCCATAAAAACAAATAGGGAAATTAATGATTGGCTGCGATATCATGACATTAGATGAAATGTCAAAGAACTGTTGCTTGTGACTGCAGAGAACTGCTGAAATCCTAAACACCCTCTAAACGTAGCACAAAAGTAGAGGAAGGCCGATACACTGAAGGAAAACACATACAACAATGCAAATACGCAAATTAAATCAAACTGTTTCTAAGCTGTAACCCTCTAAGAAAATGATCACACTTCCTAATAACACTTTTACTAAACTGAATCCTGACTCATATTCTTGTTACGAGTGACTCATACGCCTTCTATCCTTGGGGAAAGCACCTGAAAAACAGAGAAAATAAAGCTACACTGTTAGGTTACATGTTAAGGACTTAGTGAGAGTAAAGCATGCATGAAGTAGACCCTAATCACACACCAAAACTCTGCAAAAGGAGGTTCATGAAACCAAATCATCCCACAGACAACTATTCTTCCATGCTCCGATTCTGGCCTAGCCAAAAATATTTTCTTATATTCTGTAAAGTCATTTGGTGAAAGAGCTATCAAGTATTTTGTCTCGACAGGAAAGGCATCACACATAGAAGTTTATCACGCTGCTATCAAGAGAAACTAAATTCTCTTAAATTAGCACTGAGATCTGTTCAAGCAAGAGTCCAATAATTTCACATTAAAAAAAAGGCATGTGAAGAGACAGGTATTCATAGTTTAATGAAATCAGTGCTAACAATGTACAACTTTACCAATATGTTTCTTAGAAATGTAGCCCAAATCAGTGATATAATTCTGAGGACTTACCCTTTTTGTCACATGGCCACATGAAATAGCAAACTTTAAGTAGCAAACATAATTAAAGGAACAACTGTAACCCCAAAAATCTGCAGTAAACTCTGAGGCGATGTATGTTTATACCCACTAATTCATAATTGTTTGCCCAGAAACTAAACCAAAAAAAAAGGTAAAAACCTCTCTCTAAAGCTTTTCATATGAATTATTTGCATACAGGCCATGTGCCTAGCAGGTAGTAAAGAGGAGACCCTGCCCCTGGAATATTTCTAACAAAACAAGCTTACTGAAAAAAAATTAAAATTAATAAAATCCTTCATCCGCAAATACTTCTTTTGAAGTTCAGCTACTCTGGAATAAATAACTTAGCTGAATTAACATATCTTTTAGCACTTTATACTTTCAAAACTTTATGAAATACTTAGACACATATTCCAATCTTGAAAAAAGATTTCAACATAGTGAAATCACAGGCATCTTTCTGAAATATATATACCACTGCAAATCTTGAAGAGTGCAAGAAAGAACTGGAAAAGAAACATACTACCCTACTTTAAACAACTACAAAAGCCTAAAATTACACTTAAAATGTACTTTTTACTTTGTTCCAAAGTAGGGACTTCTTTGCCCACATGCAATCAAGATTGCGGTCAATGGGGGGGAAATTGCTCTAAAAAAATTTGTGAAGCTGAACTCTCAATTCCATTATGTACCAAAAGCTTACCACTAATAAATACGTAGGATGGATTACATTGGAAACAATTCTCCCAGGAACTTCGCATGACACCAAAATTCTGATTGTTTTCACTTAGGAGTCAAAGACAGGGAAAGACAGAGGCCTTGCTTTGGCTTGCTCAGAAACCTAGTTATTAAATACATGCTGTTTCTTTTTACTAGTCTTTCAAAATCTTCCTCTCCCCAGTACTGCCTGTCCCTCTCCCCCTTTCATTCTTTTGCATCTTAGCAACCTGCAGGAAATCAAAAAAAAAGTATACCCATATCAAACACACTATCTTTGATTCAAGATGGATTTGGGAGTTCAGGGATGTTTTTAGATTTAGATTTCAAATTCAAAACCTATTTCAAAATTTTTCTTCACCCCACACTACCCTCAAAACTGCTAAAAATTAATCAGTCATCATTTTGTTGCTGTTTTATCCCTTTCTTAAAAACTTATCAGCAGAAAACCAATTATTTGCAGACGAGTAAGGCTGGGAAAAAAGGTTGCTAGGTTCAATCCAGGAACACCAGTAAACAAGCCTAGAAGTACCAGAAAAATCAGGAACCACTCACAGGTCTCCCATCCTGAATCTGCGTATAAATTCTACAGGACAAAGTTCTTGCAGTCGCTTTCATGATTTGACTTAATTCAATCCCATGCTTTCTGAAACATCTTTATTTACAACTATAGAGAGAGATCTGGACAAACAATTCAAAAGACAATGAACTCTACTGTCAGTTAACCTAAGTACATTTCAGTTAACTAAATTACAGAGTACCTAAAACCTCCTACTAGGTGCAGGACTCAGGGCTATCTAGGCAAAATGTCTTCTCACTGAGCTCTGTGTAATTTAGCTTCAGTTAAGATTTGATTTTCTTGCAAATGTTTACCTACACTCACAGTTTCCAGAATACACTCAAGCTTTTAAGTTGGAAGGCACAGATTTACTAAGATTTTAATGGTATCATTTACTTAGTTAAGTCAGTTAAGGTGGGTAGCAAAAAGAACACCTGCAAGTGGTTTGCGAGGTAGTCACCAGGCACAGGGGAAATTTACAAAAGAGGAAAGGGCCGCAGGGCCAAGCTTGGGCTTGTGTAAACATAAATCACCTACGCACTGGCCTAGGTATCAAAAAACAATGTTCCTCCAGAATAGGTGTCCAGGTGGCTAATTGACTTTCTGGAGGCGAGAGTTAAAAAACAAACGCTTACAGCCATCATATACTACACAATTTTACCTGTCACCAAGAAAAGGGTACGTCTAATCTAGCAAAAAAAAAAAAAAAAAAAAAAGTCATTTTTTCCTTCAACGAGGGCAGCGGTTTGGAGTCAATTTGCAGGGGATGGGATTGCAGGGGGGAGGAGGCATGGAATAAAGGAGTGTTAAAAGGAGAGGCAGAGAGGGGTTTTTTGCACAGGGCCCCACACAGGCCACTGCGGAGAGAAGACGGGGGAAGAGGGGAAGATGTCTCACCGGGGGACAAAACCGAATGCAAAACCAGCTTAGAAGAAAGAAGGTTCCCCCCCCCCAGGAGGCGAGCTGGGGTGCAGATAAAAAGCGCTAGTGGCTGGTTACCTTGGGAAACAGGGGAAAGGGACAACGGAAATAAGAGGTCCAGAGAGATGTGAGGGAAGGAAAGGATGAGGCAGGGTCTCCGTTAAGTGCGAACCAGGGAAGAAGCCAGACAAACAGCGGGACTGGGGCCTCCCAGGGCCAAAAGGCGTGGCCAGGGATCCAGATCAAACGATGGTCTTTTTGAGACGCCCGGGGAAGTGCGCGGCAAACCCCTACTTCAAGACCCCGGGCCAGACCCGTCCGAGGGGCCCAACTGCAAGTCACCTCGAGGGCAGAAAGGGCTCGGGAGGGCTCCGGCCTCGCCCGCGGGGCCCTCCGCAGGGCCGGCTGCCCGGGCCCCCGCCCCCACCCCCGCAGTGCTCTTACCTCCACACCTGCCCCATCTGCAGCAGGTGGATGACCGACTGCCAGATCCACACGGAGAGGCGGCACAGGCGCTGCGCCCCCGGCGTGGCCGAGGCCCCCGGGCCGCCGCGGGCCGCGCCGTGGCCGTAGCCAGCCCCCATCATGGGGGGCCCCCGGCTGCTGAGCCCCTCCACGGCGCCCAGCCCGCCGCCCGTGTAGTCCTGCACGAACCAGCGGAAGCTCAGGCTCTGCACCAGCAGCGACGGCACCAGCACGAAGAAGAGGGTCAGCCCGAAGAAGCCGTAGTCCCCCTTGCGGTAGTAGTCGAGGGCCAGCCACAGGTCGGTGCCCACGTCCCCGAAGAAGACCAGCAGCGCCAGCACGATCCACAGGCAGTCGAGCCACGGCCGCTCCACCTGCGGCGGCGGCGGTTGCGGCCGAGCGGCAGGCGTCGGGGGGTGGTGGTCGGCGCCGGCGGCCCCGGGCGGCTGCAGCGGCTGGTCCCCCCCGTCGGCGGCGGCGGCGCTGCGGCGCGGCTTCTTGCCCAGGAGGGAGCGCAGGCAGGCGGAGCGGCAGCCCCAGTAGCACGAGGAGGTGTTGCAGCAGTGGCAGATGTGCAGCGAGCTGCTCTCGCCGGGCTCACTGCCGTCGCCGCCGCCGCCGCAGCCGCCTCCCCCGGGCTCCCCGTCCTCCTCGCCGCCGCTGCCCACTGCCTCGTCCAGGTTGTGCAGCTGGGCGAAGCCCACCCCCACGCCACCGCCATCGGATTTCGCCGCCATCTTGACTCTCTTCCCAGCTCCGGAGGTTGGGGGGGGAGGGACGGGTGGGGGGGGGAAGAAGGCAGGGAACGGGGAGGGGGGGAAACGAATGGAGAGGAAGGGGGGCGGGGAGGAAGCGGGGGAGCAAACGAACGAGGGGGGAGTGGGCCAGGGAACCCCCTCCGCTTCCGGGTAGTTGGCGTCACTTCCGGGCGAGCCCCCCAATCGCACGGCGCCCGCAGCTCCCCAGCCCTACCCTCCCGGCCAAGATGGCCGCCCTCCTGTGCCTCAGCTGCTGGGCGGGGGACCGGGGGGTTCTCCCCGCCAGGGCTCCCCTTCCCCTCTTCCGTTGACCCCGAAACCCATCAGGTTGACCCCTCGGCGTTTCTGAATCCCGCTGGGCCGAGTGATGCGGTCCAAAGTGATCCCTGGAGGGGGCAGTGCCAGACGTTTTGGGGTCCCCTTCCTCAGCGTCGCAGCTCACAGCTTTCCTCCTGGAGAAACGCCCCCTAACACCCTCCCGGCTGCTGGCAAAGGGGCGGGACCTCTGAGGGAAGGGGCGGAGCTAGTGCAAAGCAGGTGATTACGTGTCACTTCCGGGAGATAGGATGACCTCATTGAGTAGTTAGGCACCCCCCCCCCCATCAAAATGGCTGTGTCTCACCTCTTTGGTTGTTTTTTTTCTTTCTTTCAAAATTCTCTCTTATTCTTTTCTTATTTTGAGGGTCTTGAGAAATTGCATAAATCAGTTTAGATTCCCACACACAACTGATTGATTCTCACTTGTATCTGGACACCTCTTTCTGTTGACCCCCTGATTTTCTTGTCACTGACAACTTTGCCATCTTTAGTAATAAAGTTTTCACCATTCCCTTAAGAAAAATCCAAAGTCCATTTAAAAGTCAACCTATTGCACCTTGACTGTTAGAGCAAAGGTTGAATTGGCATTAATGACCTTGAATGAATTTTCTTCATCATTGAATGTATTTTTACCAACTTTTTTAAAGTATGTGATTTTTAAATTATGTGACCTTAATTTGAAAAATTCAGAACTAGCCAGAGTTTAAGGTGTATCAATTACTTGTTCAAGCTATTTGAATGTGTGAAGATTGCCTTTTGGAAATTTTTTGGTGCTAAAACTCTGTCAGTAAACATAGCTTTAAATGAGTGAAAATGCTATCAATGTGCTATATCATTAAAATATGTGGAGGGTACACTACTTAATTTTAACAAATTACAAAAGTGAAGCAGCACTGAATGGATTTGAATTACAATGATCTTCTAGTGAAAGTACATTTGAAGCCAGACAAAGCAAGCTACACAGTTACACTTGTTACTGATCAAGTGAAAGAAACATTTTGAGATTAAAAAAGGGGGAAAAAATGTTTTAAACCTTGAATTCTCTCCTTGACCTCCCCAGAATTTTGTGACTCATTTTTCTGATCCTGTCTACGTCTCTCTTCAGTAAAACCTAATAATACTGTAATTTTCTTTGGAATGCTGAGGACAAATTAGGTAATATTTGCACTAAAGTTCTGTTGAAGAAAGGTGCCTATTAAATCTTAAGGATTATTTTGAGGTATATAATATTTAACACTATAGCACCTAGTTAATTGGGGGTGGCAAGGCAAACAAGGATTCCATATTTTAGGACACAACTTTTCGTGAGTATGCCAAAGCAAATCCTATAAAGACTTTACAGAAAATACTCCTAGAAAATTTTTACCCCAGCCATTGGGGAGGAGGTAAGGGGAAAGAGAAGAGAAGTAATTCCAAAATCTACTTTTAGAAACAAGTCACATAACTCTATCCTTTGATTTCATACCACAGTTTAAGCCTCTTTGTTCCTATGCTATCAAAACTTATAGCCAACAGGTAAGGATATTTCCTCATATAAATGACCTCTCTTTCTTTCTTTACTGAATTTGAATTAATAACATTTTAGAAAAACAGCTTGAAGTGTAAATTAGGACTACCTAAATTTGGATCCCAGTTCCACTGAAATAATAATGTGAATGATAAAAAAAACAACATAGGCCCAAAATGGCATGACTTAGGCCACGTCACCAAACCAGGGCTTAATACCTCACTGTGGTTTCAACCTTGCCCAGAAATGTAGTCTTAACCAGTCAGTCAGGAATTTTCTGAGCAGCACCAATGGGGTAATTTGTCACATAGGCCCTTTTCATTCCCCGAAGGAAGAGGAGGTAATTTACCTAATAAGAACCCCTATCCTTGCAGCTAAGGGAAGTTGACCTTGTCTGGCACAACTCTTTATTTCCTTTTGCTGGCAACTTTCTTGCCCCACCATCCTTCCTATGAAAATCTTCCATTCTGTAGAACTCCTTGGAACTCCTCTCTACTTGCTAGATGGGATGCTGCCCAACATGAATCATTTAATAAAGCCAATTAGATCTTTGCATTTACTTGGTTGAATTGTTATTCTTTAACATGAATACTGTGAGCAAGATAATTAACTTCCTTAAACCGCAGCTACCTCCATTGTATAATGGGAATACTAACATCATACAATGTTGTTGATGATGTTCTCTGAAAATTTGTTGGGTGGATTAAAGATGGTAATCCATTCAAACTCTCCACATGATACCTGATAGGTAATAAGCACTAAATAAATGATAACTGCCATTATTTTTATTGCTATTATGATATGTTTGTATGATACCAACATACAGTTACTTAAATTCTATCATTCAGTAGATAGATTTGGTATCTCTAATAAATGAAGGCATTTTTAAGTGCTTCTAGGAAACAGATACAATTAATTTGTATCTTTAAGTATGTTTTCTCTGTTTAAGCCTGTGACACTATGAAATGAGATACAAAAGCAGGCAGCAGTGACATATTTATGATTCCTATTTCTCTATGCCCTGAAAGAACATAATCTACTAGTGAAATTAGCTAAGTAAATTACACTCACTGTATAAAGCCGACAAATGAGACTGAATCAAAAGGGTTTATCACAATAGAAAATTCAAGTAGATACATAAGATTTGCAGGTTGTCAAGTGATTTCAACCTTACATTTGCTATTTCAACAATTTTATCATTCTGATTTCTATGGAAGGTATACAGTGTGGAACCCAGAGATTCTAAAATTAAAATCAGTTACAATGACAATAAAGCTATCATGAAGACTCATTGAAAGGTTAACATAAATTAGAACTGTGCTATCAATGATACTTCTTTTAACCCAGAATTTTGGGGCAATTATGTATACCAGGTAAATCCTGAGCTTACCACAGTGCTGACCACATAGTGAGCATTCAATAAATATTGGTCAAATAAGTGAATTAAAATAGTTTTTGAAGTAACTGAAATTCACTCTTTCAAAGTTCCCCCCAAAATATGTATTTTGCATTTGATGATATAAATCTTTATAAAACCATTGGTGTATTACAGAGATACCTTGATCCTTTAGTAAACAAGGAAGGAATAAATAAAAGAAATTCATTGACCACTGGCCTGCTTTCTTACAAGCACACCAGTTAACTTCTTGATGACTGGACCTGAAGGTCGCCTCATGCTAAGAGGTTCTGTCTATTGATGAGCCTACTAAGAAACCACCCCAGGCCTACTGGATACTTTTGTTCTTGTTGTTTCTAAATAACTTTTTTTTTTAATTTCTGCTTTTTGTAGTTCATTCAGCAGTTAACAACTTTAGATCCTTTTACTTCTACTTTGACCTAGGCTGAGAAGTCAAACCACAAAGCATGTTGGAATTACATGCAATATAATAGTAAATAGATATTTAAGGCCTCTTCTATGAGTCAAGTAAGACAGATTTAATATATGGAAACAAAATATGGGCACAGCTTCACTGCCTCCAAACTTTTGGGGTTTTTCTTCCTGAATTTCTGCTATTTTCAGAAAGGCAAAAGGGGAACTTATTGTTAAATGCTATTATAGATTAGCCACCATCCCAAACATCATTCTATTTAATATACAACCATCGAAACAGGTATGGGGATTAGTATCCCCATTTTAATAGCTGGAAAACATCCTCTAGTCTCCCAAATGACTTACCCAGAATCACATCCAAAGGACGTCTAATCCCAAAGCCTAAACCTCTCCCCTTCCCATTGTCCTGGGCCAGGCAGCTATTGGCCTCTTGAAATGAAGCCAGTCTTACTGTTCCAGTCACTCAAAGGGCCCCGTTTATAATCTGATACACATTACGGGGAGAGAATACTTGAATTACAGCATGGGGATTTGCCCCAGAAAAAAGCGTTACGTGGGGGCTTCCTCATACATTCTTCACCAGGTTTTCCTAATTTGAGCTTGGCTAAAGCCTCAAACCCAGAAGGTGGATGTCATCCTTATCAATTTTATTCCTTGTATCTATTGTCTCTATAGAAGCAGGACTTCTTTGAGTACAGAGGAATAAGCTCATGGAAACTCTTATCCCTAAAAGCTCCATTTTGGTCTTTGATTCTAAGAATTGCAGTTTGAGGGAGCATTCTCATACATTCCTGCTGGTGTTACAAAATGATGCAGTATCTATGGAAGGGAATATGGCATGGTCTATCAAAATTACAAATGCAATCATTATTGGTGACAGCAATTCCTTTTATGGGAATTTATCCTACAGATAAATATGCACATGTCAGAAATTACATGTGGACAAGGTTATACACATAGCATTGTTTGTTGTTTATAATAGGAAGAAAAATGAGGAGAAAAAAAGCGAAGTGGCAGTCCAAAGGAATACTAGTTACATAAATTGTGGCATACCCACATGACAAAATACTATGCAGTGATATTGAAATTTTATGGTTTTCTTTTTAGTGATATAGGAAGAGTTACAGGATACTTTGTTATACAAGAAGAATAAGGGTGAAAAACAATAAAGCTGCTACATTTTCTGTAAAAAATGGGGGAAGGCAGAAAGTTTCTCTTCCTATCTTCTTGTGTTTGCATAAAGCAGTTCAAGAAAGATAACAAAGAAACACCTATAGGGTGATAACAAGTGTGGGGAGAAATGGTGTGAACAGGAACTGGGATAGGAGGAAAACAATAAATGTTTAGGGGAGACTTTTTGACACAGTTAGGAATGTGCACACGTACATGGGTTTGGAAAGATATGTAGGAATGAAGGGGTAAGTCCATCAGTATTTCTTCTGTACAGTAACACCACTGAGAAGTATTTTGTAAAGGTGTTTGTCTCAAGAACTTTGATATCTGTGAAGTGACTTAAACCCTTCTTCAACTTTCTTATACTTTTATTGTCTAAATAAGATGAGATCCAAGAGTTAACTCCCCACAGAGCAAAAAATCATATAGGCCACTTCAGAGAATGGGTGTATGCCTTCACATAGAGAGTGAGATGGGTAATGGAAGTATACATTTTCCAGAGTAGACCTTCATTCCTTTGTTTCTCATTGATTGTCTTCCCAGACCAAATGTGTTTCTAGAATTTAAAGATTTGTATTTGTCCTACAATACGGCCCCCAAATTCAAGTCAAATAAGTCCTTTCTCTCTGATCTTCAACCAAAGATAAAAGATTTGGT